GGAGCCCAACCAAAACACGCGCCGAGCCCGGCGGCCGGGGCCGGCGGCACAGTAATTTGCTGGCGGTGGTCTCCCTCCCGCGGCCCGGGCGGGACGGGCCGGGCAGGGCCGGGACGGGGCCGGCACAGGAGGAGGAGCCGCCGGGCGCGCGGGCGAGCGGCGCCGCAGCCATACGGCGCGCGCCGAGCCCGCCTTAAATCGCCTGACGGCGGCCAATGGGGGCGCGCCGGCGGGAGCTCATTTGCATATGGCGCGCGCCGAGCGGTGACGTGCGCCGGGGCGCGCCGCGCTCTGTGGGGGGAGGACGGGCGGGGGGGGCCGCGTCCCCCGACGGCGGCCCCGAGGCGGGGACACCCCTCAGCCCCCGGCACCCCTCAGCCCCCGGGCACCGCCGCAGGGAGCCCTGGAGCCGCGGGCCGCCCCGTCCCTGCTGGGCGCACCCATCACTGAGATGACCGTCGAGCAGTACTTAGGGGGGCTGAGGCGCCCCAGGCTGTCCGCCCCGCTACCGCAGCCGTGCTAGCGGCAGGTAAACATGCCTTCTCCGCGGGACTTCGTTCTGGAGATTTCTCCGGAGCCCCCTTAGACGTCTCTCCCAGGTGTTAAAACTGCTGCCAGGCCCAGGCATGAGGAAGAGGCTGGACGCAGTCGTTTTTCACTTAGTCCTAGGGGAGTTAAAAGCACCTGCGACTAAAGAAGGTACACGGAAACATGTTATCTTTGTATATAGTAAGTACAGGTGTATGATTTTTTTTTCCTTTAAAACATTAAAAGACTACCTTTCAGCTCTGGCTGTCCTGTGAGATTATAGTTATTTTTATAGGGGGGAGAAAATAGTCCACATGGAAATTCATGCTGCACTCTTTAATTGCAGCCATAGGAATGGCAAGTCCGCTGCACAAATGCCCACGCATGAATAAACGGCCGCCCCCATCATCTTTTGCCAGGCGGAGAAAGGCATGCACAGCGTGCCTGCTCTTTTCACGGTCCGTGTTAATTTTCCTGACCCTAGTGGCCATCCAAGGCTGGAATCACGCTGCAACCCCCCCAATTACTGTTATTACCACCAGAAGTTTTCTGCAGGAGAAGTACGCACCATGCACAAAGCACCGGTCCTAGGCACTGGGCTAGGATTAGACTTTTTTTTCTCATTTCCAATGACTTGTCATGATAATATGGGTTTGCTGGGGGGAGGAGAGTGCCTCTCCACTTCTGACGGCCGAAGGCTCAGCCTGCTTCCAGCCTTTGAGCTCAGTCTGAGTGATGCTGTTAACTCGGTGCCGATGCTTTTGGGAGGACATTATTCTCTCCCAGCCAGCCCTAAGGGTACAAAGAGGGCAGGGGAGACGGTGCAGACCCGCGCTTCTCCAGCTGATAGTTTCTTAAGCTGCCGTATTTGTCATGGCAAAACAAGGGATTGTTTGATTGCTAGGTTATGTATTAAAAATACAACTGGTTGGGATAGGAGGGGAGGGAGACGGGGGAGAAGGTTACTGCAGAAAAGCGCATTTCCACTTGGATGGATAAATGAAGGTATGAGGAGTAAAAACTGTGAGATAAGATGGCATGGCTTGCAAATTATCCACCCATGGCCCTAGTGGCATTTTCCCCTGGAATTTGATAGAAAGGCACCTAAAAGACTCCTTGACAAATAAATGTGTCGAATCGCTGTGGGGCAGTCTTTTCCGGATGAGTCCTATGCATCCTGCCAGGCAGTGGATCCCTTGGGAACACACCCTTATCCCTGGGAACTGGGGATACACACCAGCTTCCCTCCCCCTCACGTTCAGGGAAACTGCGCCGGAGGCTGAACTTTCCCTTCCCTGGTGCAGAGGCAGCTGCTAATCCACACCCTCCCGGGGCCTGCCCCCTTCTGGACTTTTTCCCTCTGTGGGGTTTCCCCCCTTTCCCCCGACCCCCGGCGAACAAGCACATTCCTTCCCCTAGAAGCAGCCGAACTACCACGAGCACGGTGGGCGGACAGGGAGCAGGGAGCGAGGCTATGCTGCTGCCGTGAGTGCCTCTGGCCCAGGTGCACCCCAGGTGCTCACCTTCGGCCAGGGGGTGTCTATCGACTGAACGGGCGGGAGGAAGGTCTAAAAGCCAGTTCGAGGGGGCAGCCATGGGCTTTTTTTCCCTGGTAAAGGTAGTGCAGATCCCTATTCACGGGACTGGGAACGAGGCCAAGCACTTTGGCGAGTGTCCTTTGACAGGGCTGCGGGGCTGGGGTACTGCAGGCCGGGGCTGCGCCCGGAGATGAGCGGTCCTTGGGCTTTCCCCTGCAGAAAGTGGGGTTGCAAAGAACCAGGAGTCGGGTGGTGGAGGGAATAGGTGGGGACGGCCGGGGGTGTGGTGTGTGCTGGGTAAACGCTGCAGGGAAGTCAGAGGGGAGGCGGAGAGGAGGTCGCGCACTGGGAGCAGGACCGGGGCGGGCGAGAGGTCTGCCCGCGGCCCCTGTCGCCCGCCGTGCCCGCGGAGGGGACAAGTACCGGCCAGGGCTTCTCGCAGGCCGGTCGCAGTGACGAGCGCTTCTCCCTGCCACGGCTCCCCACACCTCCGCGCTGCAAGGCTCGGCGGGCTGTGCCTCTCCCCGCACCCGGAGGCCGCCCCCTCGGGGCGGGGGTCTCCCGCCGCGGGCCCGGCCTACGCTGTGCCCTCTGTGCCCCCGCAGAGCAGGAGGGGGCGGCGGGGCCGGGCCGGGAGCCCGGAGCAGGCGGCGATCGCCGTCTGCTGGCTGCCGCCGCGCCTCCCTTGCCCTCGCCCCGGGTCGGGGCCGGCAGCGCCAGCCCGCGCCGAGGCGATGCCTGATCCCTCGCCAGCCCTGTCTGAAACGTGAGGCGGGGAGGGAGTGGGATCGCTTGCAGCTCCTCTGGCACTTCACTCCGAAACCTACTATCCAGAAAGAAATGCAAAACACTCTCTCGCTACAGGGGTGCCATTACTGGGCCAAAGCGAGCGAACCGGGAGGGAGCAGAAAGGGCAGGCAAAGGAGGGAGAGGAAGCATCTTCCTGCCTCGGTGACTTGGCGACTCGGGGATCACAGCTTTCAACGTGACCTGCTTGCTACCCAGTCTAGATGGAATGGTTGGAAAAAGGGTGCCTGAATAAAGTCCCGCTTTCTTTTGCAGCGTTAACAACTGTTCTGTGCCATCCTACAGCATCAGTCCCAAATCAGCTACAGGCTCGCTCTGTGTTTTGTTGTCTTTTCTCAGCTTGCTGGGTAAAAGCGTATGGAGAATCTCTGGAGCTTTCGAGTAGGGGCTCACCCTGTGAACGGTACTCACACATATAATTCAAATTTCACAGCTGACCTGCTCTGAAAACCTCAATCAGCTTCTAATTGAAGGGAAAACAAAATATTGCTTCCCTACAGCAGAGCTAACGATTTAATCATTATATCAGACATTATAGCTTTTAATTAGGCTAATGCTGATACTGTATGGAAAGAGATAATTCAACACAGTTCTTGATGAATTCTGTAATTGGGTTAACGGAGGAGCAGTTGGGGGAAGAGACGTCAATATTCAAGCTGCGTCTATAGCCACCAGGTTTATGAATGAAAGGGAAGGGAGAAAAAGAAAAGGGGGGCGGG